GTGTCGTAGCTAGATAGCTGCATACGCAATTAAAATATGATGCAAAAAAAATCCAAGAGATCAAGCCGTCCCTTGTTTGCAGACAATTGAAAGCCACTTACCACCACCTGAGAACCTCTGAGAACTTACGAGAACCTGCAACATTTTATGTCGTTTATCGAATTTGTAGCTACTTAGCCACGGCACGTGACTATCGACCTTTTATATCGTGGATTATGATCACCATCCCGTTCCATACTCATTCAGTTTTTAACTATGTAGGACAAACTGTATTTAAAATATCACATCTTTTACTTTCAATGCTTTATTTTCTTGAATGAATGGTGTATTTCCCAATCACGGCTCAACGGGGGGGCCCATATGTAAAATAACCTATGAAAAGAGTGATAATTACTTTCTAGACTTCAGTAGAAAATATTATTATAAGGTAAACCTCTTCCCTTCGAACAATACACTGGAACTATGGGGCTGATAGAAAGTAGGCCACTAAATATTCTAGTTTGACAGAACAGTGTGTAATATTGTGTCAGTTGGAATCTAGCAAGGCTTAATTGCCATCGCGCATCCTTTTTAAATGAGGACTTAATATTTTAGAGTGTTTTAAGAGGGCCAGTGAATTTCTACTGGCGAATACTTGCGACAGATATTAAGTTAAGTTGCGTGAGAAAGCTTATTATGCAGTTGATTTTTGGATTCAAAATTGAGGAATAAAAGCAAATTTAAAGTCAAGTCACTCCGGGGGTAGAAATGGTATCGATAATGTAAGATAATCTTCGTTGAGCCCATGAATGTGGGATTAGTAGAGGAGTTCTTAAAGTCCTTGTCATCATATCGCTGAACTCCGATCTCATAGGAGATTTTGTAAATACCCGTACTAGGGATTACTGTAATCCATCTATCCTCTCACAGCTACAAATTGTGCCCATAATACAGGTGTATAACGCTACTCTGTAATCTTCTTTGACAAGACGAGGTTTCATCTGACATAATCATATCATGAGTTAATAAAATACTACTATAATTTGATGTTCTGTCTTAGTCAATGAGTATGCTGTTAAATTGTCCCCGGCTCATATTTGATGGCTCATTGGTAATACATTCAGCCAAACCCCCAGGAAAATGATAATAGCAATGTAAATAAATTAAATCGGCTAATAACACAAATTTAACCCCTTCCCCCGATCACTCTCTTGTTGGACTAACTGTCGAACAACTCCATTTGAATTAAGCTAGCCAGCTGTACCATGTTATGTTGTGCTAAAAATTCATAATAACTTTTTTTCAGGCGTGAGCGGTGGATTAGAATGAAAGATAATTACCCAAAGGCCATCAAGTAACCCTGTCAGTATTTTGGTTTGTGTAGATATGGTGATACAACTAGTTCTAGCCAGATATTTAAATCACCTTAATATCTCGATAATATGTCGTATGATGTAGAGACGCTAGAAAAACTAAGAAGCGAGTAAGCAAAAACCTCCCTCTTTAATGAACCCTGGACATACATTGTAGGCGGCTGGGATCGTGTCTACTCCATGGACTGTAGTTCCGCTCATCCTGAACTATGACACTACCGACTCTTACTTGAAAGTTACGTAAGTCAAATACTCGGACACACCATCCTGCCTGGTTAATTCTTTTGAAACTTCTCTTGTTGATGAATAGAGCTGGTTCGAGAGTTTGAATCTTCCGGATGGTGGTCTACGTGTCGAGAGATTGATGCGAATAGTAAGACGGGATGCTATAAGTCAGTGCAAAGCCCGATCGTTGAACCGCTTGCCACTTCCATTAGTGGCCATGCTGGGTCAAGAGCTCCATTGTCTACTGCTTCCCATTGAAAGTGACATGCCAGGAGAAGAGGATAATTATGCCATCTCGACGAACAAAAATCGTTTGTGCGGAGACGACTCTAGCCAGGCTTATTTTAGCGGAGAGAATATTTATTCGAGCCCAGGGAGTGGACCGTAAAGTTCACAGCTTACTTTGCCTACTTACGCCGGAGCATAAGTCATTTACCTGAAGGGAATAAATTGGGCCTGGACTTTTTCCTGATACTTTTCTTTCCACATCCTCGAACCTGCATCTCTAGGTTGGGGAATACGAGCATCGACCAGGTAGCCTCGTCTGCTCCCATCTTGAATTTTGGGGGATCCATAGGTCAAAGCCACTCCGACATAATCGTCAGCTACAGTCAGCTATTTCGCGTCTACTAACCGTGTGAATTGCGTCCAGTTTCTTTCCATTCGGGCCAGACCCTGTGCTTTACCTGGGTCATGTGAGGCTTGAGCCCCTTGCCGAGCGTGCCCAGAGCGCTTGACCACAACGCTTGTTGACTATGACAATATCGCATTTACTGGCGGGCGACGCCTGGCTACACGGCGATCGGTTTACCGGTAGTCGGTTTGAGTCGGTAAGTGGCGGAACTGTACAAAGCAGAGGTAAATGCCGCGGCTTCGTAGCGCCTTGCCGCGGGGAATTGAAGGGCCGGCACGTACGACAAGATTCTCTTAACCTCACCTCTATCTCATACTTAAACACTCTCTCTACCGTTAGGAGTCTAGCGGCCAGTTATTCCGAAAAGTTGATGAGGGAGGGGGCGAGAGACGGGCTGATCAGGGGAAATCTACGGTGCCAGGATAGAGGCCGTTGCGCACGACTTTCCGCCAGATTAGGGGAGAGGCCGACGGATAATCCCTTGATCTCACGCCGGCCACGCCATGAAGCACACTGGATTACGACTAGCATGCCAAATAAGCTTCGATATGAGAACTCAAGCCAACGCAGAAACAGGATTGAGTGGCTCTGCCCCCTCCCCCGGCTGACGCATCAATAGCAAGCAAGTTTGATATCAATGAGTCATCTAATGCGACACGTTTCTACAATCAGTCACTCGACAGAAAATTGACGTCGGGGAGGTAAACTTGATAAAAATATGGCTAAGATTGCGATAGACCAAGAGAAGTACCACGGACGAAGCATTGCATACTCATCGTCCTGGCCGTCTCACTTCACCCTAGGCGCGGAATTGAAAGTCGAAGGATCAATTAGATGTTTATTTCTCCCGAGATTCGAAATAGGACGAGATCAATTCGGCGAAACTGGGGGAAGCTGGATTCTTGAGCAAAAACTTGAGGATGTGGAGCGAGCTTGCTAGGTGACGACAGCTGTGGCAGTGGTAGTGGTACCTGATGACTCGCATCTGCTAAACAGAGGAGCATGCATGACGAACTGGCTCATGCTTCAGACGGAGCCAAGGATTAGACAATGCTCGCCTTATCTGTGGACGCAATAGACCCCACCGTCCTCAAGACCGAGGCTTCAATCTGCTATTGCAAATCATAGATAGCTGTCGTCCCCAGCTTATCTTCCGTCGCTACTACCGCCCTCTAGTCCCTAGTCTAGGTGATGCTAATTTGTACCAGCAGACCCGTTACGCACAGCATATCAACACCAAGTCAACCGCGGCCGAGAGGCATAAGTAGTTGGCACCAAGAAACTCGAATGATTATGCCCGAAAGATCTTCATCCCCTCGAGACGAGTCAAAAGTCGAAGAGACCGTGTGATACTTTGTTATCTTGGCGATATGAGCTGCATGGGCATAAGGTTTCGCTGCAGGTGCACTTGCCGAGACCATGACGAATATCAAGCCATGCTAGGGCTCTTGCAGAGTTTGCTGCGAGCGTGCGACCGACCAGAGAGCCCCGTCCATAATACTAGTGGCGAGGGAGAGTTATAACAAGCTCACCCCTTCTACTCCGCTACCAGGCCCGTTCCCTTCGAACAATCGCCAGCACTTTCCAGCCGTGGTCAAACACGTCAACGTAGCCGCTTTGCACGCAGGCACCTGGTCAGGGCGTTGCCCTCACCCAACGCGCGCGTCAGTCTTTCCGTATCTCGAACAATGACGTTAATTTTCCTATTTTTGGCAGATAACAAATCACTTCTTCCCTGCACGCTAAGGCCAAGATTTTTTGTCACTGCTAATATCTATACGTAGGACAGGACCTTTGCATACTGGAATCACGACCTTGGGAATTTAATTAATCATCTCATGAAACACTCACGTATGGGGTAAGATTTTGACGGATGCGAATGCCGTCTCGAACATACAGAGGGCGAAATCTAGTAGAGGTATTTTCGTCAACTTTGAAAAGTAGCTTGCCCAATTACTCATCATTCGACCGAGCTCAACGTCGCAACTCTAACTAAAGTCATATAGCCAGCTTCTTGGATCTGCATGTCTTTCGTCCGTGGCTCATCTCCTCCACACTAGGCCAAGTTTATGCAATATGAGTTTATCCTGACCTCGAATTCATTCATGGAAACCCATCCCGCTCCCCAGATCTACCCCCTAGCACTGTGCAAACTTGCGTCTAACTGTCGCTGTTAAGTTGACATGCGAAGAGAACAATCAGCACGGCCCATGGTGAGCTTCAATTTTACCAGAAAGCGCCTTGTAGCTAGGCTGGCTCACGTTGTATCGATTTGCTAATTTGTCGATCCAACATCCAGGTACTAATTTTATTTGAGGCTATCGTAAACCTGCTCCCTTTATGCCCTATACTGCGACGCACATGTCCAATATTCTCCAAGAGATTCTGCCGATCGCAAAACCGAATTTGAAACGCGAGTCTCCGCCCTGCTTTCTCACTGACCAATTCGTCCCAAAAAGAGGGAGAGGGTCTAGGCCGCACACATACAAAGCAGTTGCTCTAAATATCTCTGATTAACAGAAACACTCCCTGCTCATTTGACACGTACATGCTAGCTAGTCAACGAGTCAGGTACAGGAGACAGAGACTTCTGCGTCGTGGGTCTGGAGAGCTGAGTCTTTTGGGTGATTATTGGTGTACAACCCTGCTGTAATTCTGCGTCTACTGAGCTCTGCGTTAAGGAGAGAGCTTGAATCTGAAGCTTTGCGGCTAAATCTAATTTTTTCAGCGCTTACTGTATATTCTTTAATATTTATTGCCAAGTAGCACCATTAAGCTTTCCTGCAGAGATGGGATCCCCATCCAGAAAGGGCTACTGGGGTCTTGAGACTACACAAAATCAAATAACTAGGAGTGGTGATAGAGGCTGTCCAGAACTAGTGGGAGTCAACGGCGCGAGATTAATAGGTCCAAGGTGTAACAGGGTGTATGTGGAAGCGAAAGACTGGAGAGAATGGTATGCTACTAGGACCAATACTGTGGGTATAGAACAGCTCACGAACGATCTTGTATGGTCTTCAGCGTGATTTGGGGCCGAGTCGAGGGAACGCCTCTTCATAAATGCCTCCAGCGCCATAGGCCACAGTTGGCGCATTGTCCATCTTGTGAATTTCTAGAGAAATATGTTTAGACACATGTAATCTATCGTCTTCAAGCCCCTCTCTATCACTCTCAATAGAGACTCGTACTCTGCCCGCATCTATCCATCGTACACAAGCAGTGTTTCAGCCTGCATGGTAGCGCGTTGGATTCCGAGTGGCCTCGCTCACGAAAGCCAGTCCAGTGAGCGACGCGGTCATGGTGGTGAGGGGCGACGCGAGGCTTCGCGCGGCAGCTGCTTGACCGGGGTGACTCACGACCCACCTGCGACCTGGCGACGCGAGCAGCCAAGACATCGCCTATTGCTCGCTTAGGGAGGAGAGTGTGGGGAAGGCATATGGGACGGAAATGCTTGAGTGAGGGGGAGAAGATTTCGAGACAGTCGTCGGTACGAGGAATGGCGGGAGGCCTAGGCCAAGCGGTAATTGGCAGGAGAGCGCGGGCGGGGCACAGCTGATGGAGACGCTGCTCTCTCAGCACGGCGGAAGATGATTGTTCCATGAGCCAGCCCTCCCCGCCATGGCAACGAGGCAAAACAGAAGATTTCTGGCGGGATGAAACTCCCATTGTAGAATGAAGCTTTGCGACCGTGGTCTGCACACCGACACCCCATGTCGCGCGACACATGCAGGCCTCAAGGCAGCGAGCAAAGACGGCCCTCGTTCGGCCGGTCGGAGAAGCATAGGCGCAAGCCAATTTTTCAAACTTCCCACCATGTCGGCCGATTTAGAGGCAGTGGATGTGGGCAGAGCACTCGAATGGAGCTAGACTGGCCAACGTAAGGGATGGGACCGACGTCTAGCGGCAAAGGTCGAGGCGGCTCCAGGCGAATGGGAACGGCGGCGTTAGATGCACCCGGGAGTATCGAGTGAGGGTCGAGGCGCAGAGGCGAGTCCGACACACAATGGCAGCAGTTGTTGTGGTCACGCGCGCGCCTCTATCCCTCTCATCACCCGCGGCTCGCTCTCCTGCGCCTCCTCTCCCCGAACTCTCCAACATCCCCCGACTCACACAAGTCAAGTCCCGCTCATACTGCGCCCTTCGCATTGAGTCTTGCCCTCACGTCTCGCTGCCGTGCCGGACCAGTCCTGACGAAACTCCCCGAGTCCTGGCGGCCGGGTTGGCGCTTCCCTGAGGAATATCTAAATTTCCTCCTATCCAGTCGCCCGGCTCCCAAGCAAGATTGGACCGTCTGGGTGCAGCGCTAAGTCACTCTGGGAAATATGTTATTGTGACACGACGAGCCGCTATTGACGTCCAAGCCAGCTCCTCACGTGGTCCAAATACTCTCTTTTCCGGCGGAGTACCCCCACGGACCTTATCCACCTCGTTGGGCCCCCGGGCCGTCGATCTTCACTTCTACCCCGGATCATGAGAGTTAAAGAATAACAGCCCCTACCCATGCCTCATCTGTTGTAGCGAGCCCAGCCTATCTGGAAGTGAGTAAGGCGAGCGCGAGCGCGAGACAGACAAGACGACAATAGAGTACTGCATTAACGACATGCCACCTTGAACCTTAGAGAATATGCAAATTATGTCCAAACCCTTTCCCCTTCTCTCCCCCCTCTCCTTGCCACTTTGGACTGCGCTCTACCAGCGCGATGGCTTGTGTTTTTGTCTACATGCTTCTTCCCTCTTTCTCCAGAGGGATCTTCGCATCTTTCATGAAGCTCAGCGACGCGTCGACTAAGAGATAAGGGAGTATAACTTCCTCCATCAGATTTCTCTACAATTCACTTTATTTCTTACCTTAACTTTCTCATACCCCAACATAGTCTGTTTCAATGTCTTTCCTCACGGCCCAAACCATGTCCATTACCCAGCCAGAATACGGTGAATCTGCTCTTTGGCTCGGCCAAACCTTTGCTCCACCGCCAATCGCTTCAAGTCAATTGCCTCTCATGCATAATCAGCCATTGACATCGTCACGCTCATACCAAATGCGCTCCTCCAAAGGAAGCCAAATGTCTTCTGGCCTAAACGCTCTCGCTCGTTCGGCGCCACCTCCACTTGACCTCCTCAACCCAACTGGATATTCGACACGCAAGCGGTCCTTTTCCCAGATAGAAGATTCAAACTTTACCGAGACTGCTTCGGATCATCAGGTTGAGACACCAGATACACCTAAGCCCAAAATCAATAATGACCATCAACTGCTCTTTTTCAGTCGGTTACCTGAGACACATACTATCCTCGATCAACAAAAGTGTATCAAGCATATTGAATTGACGGCGCAACTCCATGGCATGTTCTTTCTCTCTGAATTGGCCACGACACCTGGCGAATTCTTCAATGCAAAGCCAGAACTCACTTGTTATCGTCGTAATCTTTTTCAAATTTCGGGCAGCGTGAAGGCACCCGGGGGTTCCCTCTCATGTCTCACTCCACAAGGTGATTCAATTCCCATTGTGTCCATGCACGTACAGATTGCTGCAACGGAATCCGTCGATGGACATATCGTCAAATTAATCGTTATTCCGTGGAAGACACCACCACCAAATTCGCCTGAAATCTCTTCAGGTCAGGAGCGGGAACCATCGATCATCCCACTCACCGCCTACAATCGAAGAGTAGATGGTAACAATGACTTTATCATCTCACCTATTGCCTATCGGCGCTTGCAGTTTCGCATTGCAACAGCCAATAACGGAAGACGACGCGAACTCCAGCAACACTTCACCCTGCACTTAAGCGTGGTTGGTACCCTAGCCGATGGGTCTCAAGTCAAACTCTGTGAGTCATCCACTGCACCGATCGTCGTGCGCGGTCGAAGTCCTCGGAATTTTCAGGCCAGAAAAGAAATTCCGTTGGTCGGTTCGTCATCTTCACGTGGAAATCCACCTGAGCTTCAGATTGCTATGAGTCTAATGGCAAGCAATGCCCTGGCGGAAAAAAAGTCAGAATGCGCCATGTCATCATCCCGGTGTGAAAAACATGAGTCTCCCCAAGTAGGTGTTACGTTTGACTCGCAAAATATGTCTGAGACCACACCGATTATTTGCCCAAGGTATGCATTCGATACATAACCTTGCCGTACTCGTTTAATCATATGTACTGACAATTTTTCCATAGTTCGTTTTCTTCCTGGGATACTTCGTATGCTCTTGCCCCGTCTAGCTTCTCTCCATCCCAATCACAGACGCAAGTATCATTTCTGAATCATTTGTCAATGTCATCAGCTGTGGCAAATGGTCCTTCGTCTCCAGATTCGTCTCCATCAAATTCCATCCAACAATGCTACGCGCCTTATCATCCCATCTCACCAGCCTTAACCGTTGATAAAAATCATTTTATGGATGATAATCCTCGTCTCACAAAATCACCTAGGCTTACCAGACCTCAAGAAACGAGTCCCATGGCATCTTTTCAGGAAATCACATCGCATTATTCTCAGCCTTTTCCATCAAGTAATTATTCGACTCCAACAGATGTTGGAGAGTATTTTTCAACAGGTCCCTCACCCTGGGAATCGGGTGTTAGCACAGATATGACGCCAATGTGCACAAGCACTGCAAGCGTGGGATCAATGCCCGAGATGTTTGAATATCCGGGTGTATTGTATGGAGTTCATGGCGAAAGATCATCTTTGGAAAATTACACCTGGAATGATAGCCTGAAGTTTGAAATCCCCACATGAAGCCTTGGTATTTATATTAAATCATAATACAAGGTTAGCCACATCTGGAATGCGCACCTGGCCCCGACTACAACAAGAATTCACGAATATAAAATAAGCAAAGATAACTTTCTATTCTTAAGCTTGACCAATTCGTAGACAAGCTTGGTCGATGGATTATATTTTTCCAGGGATGTTTTTGTAAAAAAGAGATTCCTGCGTTAATAATTTTCGATTTGAAAGAGCGACCAACCGAATCAAAATACCTCACAAGCTTAAAGAGTTTGACAATATCTGAAGTCCCAAGATATCAAAAAATATTATTATTGAGGTCACATTTGCGTGAGATGTGAAGAAATTGCCCGGGCAATGAGCATCAATGTCAGATCTAGACAGTAAGTCTAAGGTAGTAGCTGTCAAAATTTTCTGTCCGTAATGTATGAATGTAACAGGATAAAAATCGGATTAAGGTTCGATCAGCGCAGTTGTAAGGGTGATAGATGAGAATTGACAATGAGTAAACTTGTAAAGAGCTCAGACTTATGATATGGTAGAGTAAAGTGAGATAAATTTGGTTAGATTCTCAATAAAGGGCTTATACATACGTTCCAAATCTCTACAATGGTTATGGAATGCTCGAAGATAATCACAAGCCAGCCAGGTAAAACGAGATAATAAACTTGACAGTGATAGTACAGTCAGCCAATTAAAACATTAGCTTAGTTCTGAATGACCAGGGCTGCTGAAAACCAATACTTATCCATATTATTTGCCTCATACTTTGGAAATTCGAGTATTCAAAGTATTGTAATATGCAATTGCCCACATCGAAATAGTATTTCCCAGCAGAAGACGAAAATCTGCGGATCATGAATTGAGCGAACTAACGGCTGTAGGGAAATGAGAGCAATTTTAATATCAAGTAGTTTGTGCAAAAAAGGCTTGCTTTTATGAGCTGCAAATTTTTCGACTTCCGTGAAAGCTTAAATCACTCATAAGCCTAAAAACTTTCTTTGAACCCGTGACTGAAGATGAACTGTCCAATAGTATTGGATTAAACTAGGGATACAAGGTCTCATGGATGACCTTGGACCTTTTCTATCGCAGCCGAACTCTATTCTCCGACATTTCCATGTTTTAAATTGAGTGACTCTCCATAATTCACCTACGTAGCTATTGACTTTGAACTTTGTAGACTAGCCCACGTCCTTCTAAAGAAATTGGCAACCATAATCTTGCGAGGATATCTCGACTTGTAATTCCCCGCTACGTATTCATTTATGGGCGAGTAGCATACTTGTGGAAATAACTTTGCTCTATATTGAATTGCTTCTCATAGAACGATGTAAGAGCGGGCGACTTGTGCTGTATGCGATGTCATTCGATTTTTGGCCGATGGACTTTCGGTGGAGGGATTTTCAAAACACTCCTCAAGAATAGAAACTCATTTGGATTTAATTTCGGAGAAAGGTTACACTGACGGAAGATCGTGAAAGCAAGAAAAGTAGTGCTAAGCGAAGAATTTCCGAGAACTCCGGCAAGGAAACCTTTCCATCTGAGCATTGTCCTTGAATATCCCCCTCGATCAAACGATGAATGGGAATTGTCTTCAAGGCTCTTGACATATATCGATGTTGTATTATTCAGAAAATAATCCTCCATGACATTATGTGATGCAGAATTCCAGTGGAAAATTGGTATGGAATGTGTTTTGGAAGCATCTAGATTTGGTAACTCTAAATGACGTATTAAGTGAGGGAAAGAAGTTTTTCAATTATCATCGTAGTCAGCTGCGGGGTTGTTTGAAGCAACATATGGATAGATGAGAAAAGGTCCTGCATTAAAACTGATATTTTCGCGTGACCGACAAAAGTGGCGTGTCCGGACTAGTGTAGATAGCGCAAGTTATTTCCAGGGTGTCAATCAATTTGACTTGCTTCGCGATATGTGTCTGCTGGTGAGTGCAAAGATCTTCCTTGCTTTGGTCCGGACATGTTAAAATTTTCTCATTATCAAAAGATGATATGAGTATGACTGCATCAATTTGGATTAATCGACTAACAACGCTGTCCGATGTATTTTCAACTACGAGTTGTAGTCAAAGTTGGTAGTGAGATTTCTCATCGTCAAGTTCGCGTTTACCAGCGCTTAAACTCCCGGGCCACTTTCCTAAACCCGGCAAGGATTTGGGGACTAAAAAGACTTGATTGGGTAAATCTATATTTTGTATACTCAAAAGATTTGACGTAATTTAAGAATGAAGTTTAAAAGTAAGTTGCTTGGATATGAGCTACGGGTTTACGATTGTCAAACGGTAGTTGACTCGACCAGGTATGTTTGGATCGAATCCACATGAGCAACCAACAACGCTAACCAACTGAAAATGTGTGTAGCACGTGCATTTCTACGTGATTTGATGACTGGATGGTGCAGTGGTAGACCATTCAGGCAGATTTCTCCACCGGCTCCATATCCGTGGCGGAACTACTGTCTAACTACGGTTATTTCATATCTGTTAGAAGTTAGAATAATTGGGGCTATCAAGTAGGCCACGTTGTTGATACACACTTGACTACAAAACCTGTACTTAGTTTTACTTCGGTAGTTACTCGACTCAATGTGCTCTACAACCTCAATGACTGAGAGGTCATTATTTCCTTACTAGTAATTTGAATCTTGAATTCATTTAGCCCGATTTGGTACACTGTGGGCCCTTGCAGGTAGATTAGATTTATATTATAGTCCCTACTGAGTCTAAGACTATGGAAGACTTCGTGAATCTAACTAAAGATTCCAATTAGATTTAGTAAATTTTAATTTTGAAATATGCCAATATTTTTCCCATAGATATTGAAGGTCAAGCACTTTACAGCTATATATCTAATCATAATTTTTACAATACAGGAAACCAATTCGGTGAAAACTTCCAAAACTATCTGTCTCATGTCTTTTGGTTTTCCTGGGAGTTCCTGCAGGAAGTGCGTTAACAGTGTTGATACAGTGTGAATTCCGTCTAATCCTTGTCCAAATTGTCTCATCTTTTCGTCCAATGATATTTCTACTTCTCCTGCAAGCCGGAATTGTTCATTCCAGCTTTTTGCCAGGATCCAATTTAAGAATCTCTCTATGTCATCTGGGCTGTTCATCATTGCCGCAAACAACCTATCTTCTGCCTTTCGAAGCACTTCTACTCTTCCCATTGCCAACTGAGGAAACGCCAAGACCATATATTTGACACTTTGAATTAATCGCTCCGGTGACTTTCCTTCGATACAGATAAGAATTGAGACCAATGTGCTCAATTCTTATCTGAGCTGTAATACTGCTTTGGAACCTGTTATTATTATGATTATTTATTCGTTTTATTGTCCTGTCTGAGTCTATGAATAGTAGGACATGCAGATTTTCTCTGCCTACAGGTTAAGGATGCCTATGCCAGTAGTAAATCCCATCCTATGCCTCCCATACAGCTCCCCTCCAACAGTACCACCCCTCACAAGTCCTCATTCGATCATACACTAAGAGGAGCCCTTTGCTCTTCATTATCTTCCCTCTCTAGCTGTGACGGAAAATTTCACAGATCCGTAACTAGAATTTTAATACTAATATTAATTCGCGATAAGATGAAGGGGTAGTTAGTTAAAACCATCAATTTAATAATAGCTTCCCCTATACAATTAGTCATGTAAAAAGTCATGTAAGGATATACAAGATAGTCATGAAGAGAAGGACAAGAACACAGCCATTAATGCGAAGATATTAGCAAGAATTAATCACGATTAATTCCGGCTGGCAAATGCTTCTACTCTTGTAGATAATAGTTCAGAGTGAGAGAGATTTACTCCTCACGCAACGTCTTCTTTACTTACCCTGTACAATACATTTGTTTACCAATCTCTTCTTCGGGAAGTCCAGATATATATTGCCCAGCTCTTCATAAGCAAGACCCACGTGTAACATCTACTGCAACTAGTTGCCCGTTCACCTCTTCCTAGAGAAGACATGTCATCCCTTTGACACATTTATTATCTTCATTCACCACCTACATCTTCACTAGGCTATAAAACGCACCCCTTGGAATACTATAAAACCTTCATCCTTGAGAGAAACCGGTTTGGTAATGAATAGATCGATTTATTAAACTATGAGGAGAAAGGAGAACTCTAGCTACGACTAACAGGTATTTAAAAGAATTTGTCTCCTTCGTCAATCTCCAGACTGATGACTTATTCTTAGGTACATACTTGCTACCCAGCCACGCATTGCCAGGTATCACTTAATTGTAGTAATGCTTCGACCTCCTGACTAGTAGTGCCGCCTTGTTCAGCTTCACCTACCCCCCCCATGTAGCCTTGTCATAAACATTCTCAACAATACGCTTAGGTATTCACCTAAGCTTAAACAACGGTTAACCCGTAACACCAGCCATCAAAACGATGGCCATTTGCGGGTGTATGGCAGCCGGAAAAATCGCAAAAATCCACTGGGTGCGGGGCTCTCCTAATACCGACATTAGGGCTAGATCCGAAGATATAATGACCCTTCCGAAGCGTCCAGAAGGACGGCCAGCTAGGCGCTGCAGACTTATGGGTACCTCGAAAAATCCGCACTCTGCCTTTCTAGCCTCCTTCCAACTCCTTCCCGAAGGTCGTGCTGAAATTTCAGAAAAGTCTTGACAGAGCGTGATTGCTGTATAGTAGCTTAGCCCAACCTCTTTTGTACCGTCCAGGGCGCTGGGGAGTGTCGTTGACTCATCGAAAATAGAAGCCATCCCTTTAATGCACATCTCAAGGGTAACTGTTGTGATTGGCAAGTATTAGCCAAGATAGCCACGTGATACTCATCATGCACAGACTCTAGTATATCTCTGCTGCTCAGTAAACTTAGTAGAAGTAACACCTTTTCATATACGTAACTATCCAAATACAACAGGTTATGGCCCTTGCGCTTCCGCGCTCTTTTATTCTTATTTAATTATACTATCTACCATCTATCGTTTATCGTTTATTACTTATTTCCCT